GCCTTGCGGGGGCGTGTCCCCCCCGGCGGCTGCGTCCACACCAGGCCTGGGCAGCCCCCTCTCCCCGGGGCAGAGGAGCCAGTGGGGAAGGGGCTGCGGCGGGGTCCGGGTCCGCGTGCACCATGGCGGATGGACGGCGCTTGGTCCTCACACCGAGATCTCGTACGTGGTCCCCCCCACGCCGGAAACCTTCTTAACCAGCGTGTGCCTGGCGGGGCTGGCAGAGGGCCCTGGGGGGCCGGCAGCAGGCCCCAGCCGGGCCAGGCCTGGGGACTGCCCGTTAAGCTTACTTGGGGGGGTCTTCAGCTGAGGGTGGTCCCTGCATCAAAACAAGCACACACACGCACGCACACGGTCAGCACAGGACCACGAGGAGACGGAGGACGGTGGAGGCGGCAGGACAGGTGACGCAGACACGGACGGGAACTCCAAGCTGGCACGGCCTGAGACGCGGAACCCCTGGCATCCCATCCTCTGAACTGGCCGTCCCCACCGGGGGACACACAGACAGACGTGGTCGGAACTGCCGTCGCCTGCCTGCTGTGCTGAGCTGGGGACCCCGCGATGGCCCTGTCTGGACCCTCCTGGCTCCCTCTCGGGAAAGAGGGCCTGCCCTCCCATCCTGCTTGGCTGTTTCTAACCTCGCTCTTGGACGCCGCAGAGGATGGAGCCCCTTCGTGTCCCGTTCGCCACCTTCTGGACCTCTCGCTCTGCACTCCTCACACCCACCACAGCAAACTCAGCCCAGGGCCCACGGAAACCACACGGATTCCCGGCAGCAGGGGTCCGTGCCTGGGGCCAGATCCCTGCGGCTGCACCCCAGGCCCTCCATGGCCAGGTGGCCTGACCCGAGGTCTCCCCAGGGCCTTGACAGCAGGGTACCAGCTCAAGGCTGCAGGCCCGAAGGGCAGTGCCTGGTGATGTGGCATGCAACGCCCGGGGACGCAGTGGCCCTGGCTGTGCTGTGCTCTACTCTCCTGCGTGGCCCTTCCTGCCCTCCTCCCGGACCCCCTGGGGGCATGGAGCCAACCCACCTCTCTGAGCCTCAGTTTCCCCATCTAGGAGCAGAGAAGGCCTCTCTTCAGGGGACTTTAAGCCCCACCGGGCCAGGCTCCAGCACCTAGGGCAGCTTGTCTACCGTCTGGGGACACCGAGCCCTGACCTCCAGAGACACAGTGAAGCTGGCCCGGAGACCGCCCTGAGCAGACCGAGAAAGTCTGGGCCTACGGCTGGAAGGAGCCCGCGCTGCCATGCGGCACCAGCTCTGCAGGAAAAGGCCCTAGGCCCTTCCATATGCCGGGTCTGTGCATCTCTGAGAGCAGGGAGACTGAGACGTCGGGCTTGGAAAGTAACCCTCCTGCCTCCATCTCTAAGTTCCTAGGGTGTCCACGGGGCTGACTGGGGGCCTTCAAGGCATGGCAGCCCACCCCGGCCCAGCCCTGGGTGTTTATAATTTCCTTTCTGATTGTTGGGCACCCTTAGATGTCACTTCTTGGATGTCATACTGAAACAATGATCTGTTTGTTGTGGACGTCTAAGAAGCTCCCCCGGGCACCCACCTCTGCACAGCCAGCGAGGGCGGAGGCTCCGGGAGGTCCGTGTGGATGAAGGCGACGGCTTTGGGGCCCGAGTAGGAGGGCGAGTGGGGAGTGCCGGGTGGGGAGGGCAGGCCCTGGCGGGCTGGTGGGCCGGGTGGGAGCCGCTGCCTGGCCGGGGCCCTGGGGCGTTGTTGTTGGCCTGGTCGGCCTGCAGGGAGGAGGAGGACGTCCGCGGCGCCCGGCTCACGGCGCTGGACAGGGAGGACAGCGACGTCTGCAGGGCGGGGTTGCGGGCACCGCCAAAGCCGGGCCCGGCCACCAGGTCATCCCTGGAGCCGTGGCGCAGCGTGGGGCCGCGGGGGCCCTCGGACAGCACGCTGGCCTGCTGCAGGCTGTAGGAGCTGGGCGCATCATAGACGCCCGAGTCGCCGAAGAGCGAGTCGGCCTGGGACCGCAGGAGCCGCTCCCGCTCCTCCCTGTCCTTGCGCTCCTGGATGGAGGCCATGATGGTCCGGGACAGGTTGTCGTAGCGCACGGGCGAGGGCTCCCGCGGCCGGGGTCCCAGCACGGGGCTGAAGCTGCGGGCAAGCTGCCGTTGCGGTTGGGCAGTGCGTGGGGGGCGAAGATGCCACGGTGGGGAGTAGGGGGCCCTCCCTCGGAGCGCAGGGGCTGCAGGGCCACGTGGTCCCCGCCCCGACGGCTGGCGGCCTTGAGACTGAGGGAGCGCAAAGCACCCGAGAAGGCATCGGTGGCGCTGAGCGGTGGGGACGGCGGGTAGGCAGCGTGCAGGCCACCGGCCCCGTAGTCAGGGAGGTCCAAGCTGGGCTCGGACACGAAGTCCAGGCTGTGGATGCTGTCGTCCCCCAGGGTCAGGGAGTCAGGGCCTGGGACCTGGGGAGAGAGGGTCCTCTCAGTGCTGCCCACCACCGCCTTGTGGAGGCCACCATCTGTGTCCACCATGGGAGGAAGTGGGTACGGAGCAGGGCACAGCAGCTCGGACAGCGGGGGCCTGCAAGAGGAGGTCACGTGGAACCTGCCACTGGCGGGGCTCCCCCGGTGGACCCTGCCACTGGCGGTGCTCCCCAGGAGGGGAGGGGCTGGGCCTCAAGGAGACGCACCCAAAGCTGTCCAGGAGCACCCCAAGAATGAGGGTGGGGTTCAGCTGCATGAGGACAGAGTTGGCTGCTACCTACGCCCGGAGCCGCCCAAGCCCAAGGGGCCCACCTGCTCAGGGCAGCCACGGGAGGGGTGGACTCATGCGGCCTCTGTGGTTGAGGCTCGTGGGCTTGGGCTGGGGAGAGCACCCTCAGGGACTCATAGCCTGACAGGAGGAGGAGCAAACGTGACCTCAATCAATGCACTTGACAAGCAAAGCCCCACGGGGTCATGACAGTCCCGGAGAGCAGTGATGGGGCGGGGTGTCCAGAGCCTCCGCTTTCCAACAGAGCCGGCCCTCCCGCCGGAAGGGCCATGGATGCTGGCAAGGCTCGGACCCTGCCGGGAACCCCAGGCTCACCACGTGGTCTAGCAGCCCGAGACAGGCTGGAGCAGGCGCTGGACCCCGAGGGAGAGGTCCCAGGGAGGGGCAGGTCTAGAGGGAGTGCACAGCCCCAGGCCTGCCTCTTGGCGTCGCCCTGAAGGACAGATACCAGCCAGGGACGGCTGCTCAGAGTTCCAGATCATTCCTCAGGCTGTCCCAGTAACTCGGGCGACTTATGCAACTCAGGAAGAATTGCTTCTCAATCCGGCCCCGAATTCTTCTGAGGCCTTCCCGTGGGCCTTCCAGAGTGACTAATGGTGGAATTCCAGGCATCCTGGGAGCAGCCGCCCACCAGCCTCTGAGCAACACTGGCCAAGGGACAGGGACGCCAGACCAAGACCGCCTGTGACAGCCCCACCCAGGACACCCCGCCCTGCGCTTTTCTTTTTTCAAGAGAGATTTTGGTTATAAGGTATGTGCGCGCACCAGAGAGAGAGAAAGCGAGACATCTCTCCCCCAGGGGGGACGGCCGCATCGCAATCCCTTCTCCATTCTCTCCTCGAGACCTTAGGCGTGCGGGTACAAACGCGCAGGGTGCCCAGGTCCAGGACTAGAACCATCTGCGGGTCCCACCCTGATGCTCTTCAGCGGCCGACCTCGCGGTGCCTGCAGGGCGTCCTGCTCCAGCACACAGGTCCCTCTGTGACCCAGGCGGGGCTGTCTGGGGTGTCCAGGGGGCCCTTCCAAAGGGTGGGATGGAGTTTCAAAGGGGAGGCCTCCATACCTGCTCACCAGGCCCACAGAAGGGTGCCTTGGGAGCCGTGGGGAAGGCTGGTCTGAACTTGTACATGGCAGGCGTCGGGGGGCTGGTCCTCTGCACAGACAGGGCGCTCTCTGCAGAGATAAACCGCTATCAGACTGGGGTGGCGCAGGGTCCAGCTACGCCCCACCCCACCCCGGGGTTGCCCCCACTTCACCAGCACTGCCAGGTCGGGGGGTCTGCAGGTCGCTGCTGAA